TATATTTGTCCTTCTGTGATTGACTTATGTCATTCAGCATAATGTCCTCCAAGTTCATCCATATTATGTGGTGTTTTGCAGACTCTACATTATTCTTTAGTGCTGCTTGGCATTCCATTATGTGTGTGTACCATAGTTTGGTCATCCACTCTTCCACTATAAATCTTAGAGATAAGTCCCTTGCCAGATAAGTAATTTTCAGCAAATATGAATTTGTTGCTGTCATTTTTGTTATGTGCTTTTTCGTAGTGTCAATTTCTTTGTTCCATATAATTTTCGTGTTATCAGTTCCTTCATTGCTGTTGTTTTAATATTTGCTGAATATTTATGTTGGTCCTCTTTTTTGATATGAAGGTTTATCATTTTTCTTTGAGGTTACCCTGTGATTTATAGTTTTCTTTCCAAGTTTAAACAGTCTGTTCTATCTTGTAGTTGTCTTGACTTCCCTACCATCTAGAAGTTCTGTAACAACACAGTTTTTTCCGTCTTTTTGGTTTGTAGTTGTCCTCATTTGTCAATTGATGTCTCTGGTTCCTTGTTTACAGTCTTGTAGGGTTCTTTACTTTGGATACTTCCATAGCTGGGTTGGTTTCTGGGTTATATCATCATGTGTGTTTATGGTCAGTTGTTGTTGGCTGCTTGTTGCTTCTCTGTCCAAAGAACTCCCCTTATCATCTCTTGTAAGGTTGGTCTGGTTTTAACAGATTCCCTTAATTTTTGCTTATCTGGAAATGTCCTAATTTGACAATCATATTTGAGGGACAGTTTTGCTGGGTACATAATTCTTGTTTAGAAAATTTTCTCTTTCAGGGTTTTATATATACCATCCCATTGTCTTCTCGCCTGCATGGTTTCTGTCGAGGAATCCGAGCGTAGCCTTATTGGTTGCCCCTTGTAGGTAACTTGCTGTTTTTCCCGTGCTGCTTTCCTGATTCTTTAATTTTCTTTGGTTTTGGTAAGTTTGATGATGATACGTCTGGGTGATTTTCTTTTGGGGTCTATCCTGTTTGGGGTTTATTGGAATTCCTGAATGGATATATTCTCATCTTTCATCATACCAGGAAAATTCTCTTCCAACAAATCTTTGACAATTTTCTCTGTGGTTTTATTTGTCTCTTCCTGTTCTGGAATTCCGATTACACATAGATTATTCCTTTTGATGGTATCTCACCTGAAGCTTAGGCTTTCTTCATTTTGTTTCAATCTTTTTTCTGATTGATCCCTTTCCAAAGAAGTGTTCAGGTATTTGCCTTCAATCTCCCTAATTCTGTTTTCCATTGATTCAGTTCTGCTCCTTTGCCCAGTCAAAGTCTTATCTATTTCTGAAAATTTAGTATTAATCTTCTGGATTTCTGTGTGTAGAGTTTGTATTATTTCTAATTTTTCATTTATTTTGTCATTTGTTCTTGTATTGTCTTTTGAAATTGTTCTAGGGTTTTCTCTTGTGTTTTCCTTGATCTGTCTCTCAATTCATTGACGATACCTAAATATAATTCTTTTGAATTCCTTATCAGGGAGTTCCAATGCTGGTTCTTCCTTAGGGATGTGTTTTGGGTCTGTATCCTGGTCCCTTGTTTCTTCTGCTTTATCTTTCTTCTTTGTGTGGACTGTGATGCTCTGTTGTCTCCTAGGCATCATGACTTTTTTGTTTATATTTAATTGGTGATTGTATGTTGGAGACTTGCCATAATTTTCGTTTTCTTTGTATGTTATCTATGTAAGCAGGGTACTGTGCTCCTCAATTCACTAGTTGACAGCACTTATACACTCACCACCTGCCTCCTCTCCTGTTGTCAGCCTCTTATATATCCCTGCTGACCTTGGCAAACAGATCCTATTTTTAGGTCCCTGGAATCGGAATGAGAATGCT